TATCTACTAAAATTTCAAAAAACATTGGGATTCTATATAAAGCTCGTAACTACCTAAATAAAAATTGCTTAAAACAACTTTATTACTCTTTTATCCACAGTTACATAAATTATGCCAACACTGCTTGGGGGAGTACTGTAAAAAGTAAGTTAAAACTTCTTTATCGTCGTCAAAAGCATGCGATCCGCATAATTAACTATGCCGATCGTTTTACACACACAAAACCTCTTTTTACTGAAATGAGATTGTTAAATTTATTTGAACTCAATGTATTTAAAGTTTTATGTTTTGTATATCTATGGAGAAATAATCAATCCCCTACCGTTTTTAATAATACTTTCAAACTCAAACCTAACAACAAATACGACATGAGAAACATAAACTTTTTAAAAGAACCATTTTGTCACACAAAATTTAATCAATTTTGCATTGCTTATCGTGGACCCCACCAATGGAATAATATAGTTTTGCAGAATTTTGATTTACCAACTTCCTTTTACCTTTTCAAGCTCAATCTAAAAAAATGTATTATTTCACTTGATAATATACTCAGATACTTCTAATATTTTTTTCTAATATTTTACTTTCTTTATTTTAATTTTTACTTTATTTTTTAGTATCTTATACTGGTATTTATTTTGCTTGTTTGTGCTTTATAAGGTTCTGATGACAAGATCTTGTGATCTTCTTTCAGATCCTAGCTTATGTTTCATGAAACATAAGCTAGGATCTGAAAGAAGATCACAAGATCTTGTCATCAGAACCTTACAATGAATTCATTGTAAGCAGTTTATGTATGTGCGCATCTACGCATTTGTGTGTGTATATATGCTTATATTTATATATGTATGTCCGTGTTTTTTCTTATTTTAATTTAGTTGATAAATGTTGTAACACGAATTTAACTGTAACACGATATATATGGCATATATAATTGTACTTTGACATTTTAATGTAAGCAAAATTTAAAAAAAAAATAAAAAAAAATTAAAAAAAAAAAATAAAGCATAAAATGTTATAAACATTAAGCTCGAAAATATTAAGTATTTTCATCTCCATAAATAATGGTTTGGAATGAGTAAAACGATCCGCAAAGTTAATCAATCGGATCGCATGCTTCTGACGGCGAAAAAGGCATTTTAGCTTACTTTTTTCGGTGCTTCCCCACGCTATTTCGGCATAATTAATAAAGGTGTGAATAAAAGAGTTTTATATATTTTTATGCATTTAAATGCAACAAAAAAAAAATTATTCAAAAAGTATAAGATAAATGCAAAAGAAACCTGACGCATAAAGGTTTATTTTGCCTCAAACCGACGTCAATGGGCAGTATATTTTTTGCTCAACTTTTAGATTAGCTTTTAATATTATTCTTTAGTTTATAATCATAATCAAAAGAATAAACTTTTTTTTATGACTATGTTTTAGCGGTCTAAGATCTTCTTTTTTCCATTTGTAACTATAAGGAAAAAGTATAAAAAGGTTCTTACAAAGACCCGTATTTTTATGGGTCCAATCTCAGCTAGTGTTGTATGGTACTTAGAACATGTATGACATTATTTTATTTTACAATAGTAATGCAACTTGTAAGTGCAATATTTATTATATCTTCGGCAATTTGTAGATGGAATATAAAACAGATTTATTTGATTTTGAATGTATATATGAACGAACTTATACTTGTGTGTACGTGTGCGTATGTGCGTGCGCGCAAGCACACACATACGCACACGTACATTATGTACATTATGTATGTACATACATATAATGTACATTATGTATGTACGTGTGCGTACATACACGCGTGTATAATAAAAATTAATGTAGAATAAAATAGAGAATTAAAAAAACAATAATAAGAAGAAAAAATAATTAATTTTTTTTCTTTTTTTCTGTAAAGTTTATTGTTAAATCATTTCTCGCTTCAGTTTCTTTTTTCCTTCTTCATTTTTATTGGTTGAATTTTTTAGTTATATTAATGGGGCTGGATAATAAGTCCATGTCTTCTGCCAGCTCCGATCGAAACTTCAATATTATATTTTTATGTTGTAAAAACATTGTAAAAGATTATTTTTTAATGACGAATATATATATATATATATATATATATATATATATATATATATATATATATATATATATATATATATATATATATACACACACACACACATATATATATATATATATATATATATATATATATATATATATATATATATATATATATATATATATATATATATATATATGTATTATATATATATATATATATATATATATATATATATATATATATATATATATATATATATATATATTTCTGGATATATATATCCAGAAATATATATATATACATTTCTGGACCAATGTTACCCCCACAGAAGGTGATTTTCAAGTTATCGTCGGTTTTTTTACAAATTTAGTTGTTTATTTAACACCATTCAGTCGGGTGAATTCATGTTTTGAGGAGCTTTATTATTATTTTTTTTAAGAAACCAGGCGGTACTTTTTTAAAATTCACCCCCTCCTCCCCTCATTTTATTCATTTGCCTCTGCGTGTATTACTTAAAAAATATGATAATTCAAAAATAAATGTTTGGAGCAAACTCCAAACATTTATATGTATATAGTAATGTCAAATAAGGATGCTTTGCAAACAAACAAAAACTTTGAGCGGTCAAAAATTAAATATCTTTGCGTTAAATATGATTAATATAACTAAACATTTTCACTAATATCTTCAAGTTAAGCTTCGATTAAATTCTATTTTTTGATTACTATTTTATTAAAAACTAACTAGAAATCAAAATTTAAAACTATCGAAAATTAAATACCTTTGCGTCAAATATAACTAAACATTTTCATTGATATCTTCGATTAGGTTAAACTTCGACTAAATTTTATTTATAAAAATGTTCAAAGGTTGCTAAAAGAAAGACAACAAGTAAAACTATAACAGAAAAATACATAATACTAAAAGAACTTGACAAAGAAGAATCATCTGTACCTGTTTCAAAGATATATAACATTCCAAATTATACATTGTCTGAATGGTCAAAAGAAAAATATATGTATTCAGAAGTTTGAAAAAAATAAAACTTCTGCGAAAAGACTGAGGATACAAATCTCTCTAAATAAGTATTTGATTAAAACATGTTATATGTAATACCCGAAACCAAAACATTCCTGTTTCGGCAAGTCTCGAAATCTTGTTAAGTCGGACATTTTCAAATAGTTAATTCGGACATTCGCTAAGTCGGAAAATCTATATATACCCCTTCAGAGTTCGAGTTAACGGAATTCTACTGCGGTAAAATTATGACCATTTAAAGTTTGAACCCCCTCAAATTGAGGGGGTTACAAATTTCATATAGTAATTATTTTTGAATGGTGAGAGATTTTAAGTAACTTAAAATTTATTAATGAATATAATTTTAGTTGAGAATAGTACAAAAATTATTTTAACAACTTGTTGCTCTCACGTTTAGGGCAGGAGGGGGGGGGGGGGTTGAGGATTTCATAGCTTCTTTGTTTCCAGGTCCCAACCATCGCAATTTTCTGCAAAGTATCATTAATAATTTATCAACAAATAAAAATAAAACTTTTTATGGTACTAATAGTTTCATGCTTAAACTCAATGAAGCAACTACATGGCATTAGCCATGTAAAACCTTGACTGCCTTTATACAATCATGGTATTACATATATATATACAGTATATATATATACATGGTAACATATGCATACTTCTTGATGAAGCCTCACTTCCAAAGAAAAAATTAGATTAGTGTTTTTACTAATTATTATTGCTGTATTTTAAGAACATCGAGCACTATTTGTAAGATACACTGATATAATTTACACACACAGATATACACTGGTAAAGGAACAGGAAGAAGAAAGAAAGGAGGGGGCGGCGGCGGAGTGGTGATAGCCTCCCACACCAACTAAAACACTGGGGGGAGGGGGGGACACTGTATTCAGCCCCCCATTTTCTAAACAGTTTTGAAAAAACTTTTATGATAGCAACAGCGGAATTATCATTTTCCAGTCTGCAATGACTCAATCACAATGAAACATCACCATAGAAAAGTATATCTATAAAACTGTTTAAGATACTGTCGTATACTATTTTTTAAATGAATTTGTACTGGCTATATTTTGTGATCATCGTAAAAGCATAAGTAATTATTTTTAAAAATAACATGTTTTTTATTCTTGACATGTTTGGTAAAATTTGTTTATAAAATTTGTAAAATAGTGTTTCAAAAGACTATTTTACAATAATAAAAACTCTGAAATATTAAAAGATAGAAGTCTTTACAGAGAAATAATAACAAACGAAAATTATACATAATAAACGAATATATTTATTACAAACCAACTCGGTAAATAACCAATCAAAATAACCAACTGTCAAAAAAATAAATAATAAATTGATAGTAAAATTAAATAGATAAGTTTATAGCATAAAATATTTTTTAATATTTATTTCAGAGTTTTTATTATTGTAAAATAATCTTTTGAGAATGTAAATAAATTTTACGAAACATGCCAAGAATAAAAAACATAGTGTTATTTTTAAAAATAATATATATATATACATATATATATATATATATAATTTTTCATGAACATTCCATTGTTTTTGTTGTAGGATTTCATATATATATGAAATCCTACAATATATATATATATATATATATATATATATATATATATATATATATATATATATATATATATATATATATATATATATATATATATATATATATATATATATATATATATATATAATTTTTCATGAACATTCCATTGTTTTTGTTGTAGGATTTCATATATATATGAAATCCTACGACAAAAACAATGAAATGTTCATGAAAAATAACAATTATAACATAACTCCGATCAAAATTGCGTAAGTGTAGACAAAATTACGTAAGTGTACTGAAAATGAACGTTACTATTTTTTAACCAATGTTATGACCATGTTGTAATTCGGATAAAAAATAACATTATATCGTTAAATTTAGTTGGCCGACATCAGCCAACATAGCCTTACATAAATACAATTTCGGATCAAAGTCGTGTGCCGCCTGGGAACAAAAAAATTCATTACAGTTTTACGAATACACATCAAATCAAAAATAATTGCCGAGACCAAAAAACCACAAAATATGAAAAAAAAACTTTTATTTTTAAATAGTATAATAAAAAAAAAAAAGATATTAAAGTATCAGTATAAAATAAGAAAATAGTAAACACTATGGATCTAACATGCATCATTTTCTTCGGTATCGTCAGGAGTTTCATGCAACTGTTTATCGTTTAACTTTTGATGCAAGTTTTTTATATGCCTTCGCAAATGACTGGGATTGTTAAATGTTTTCGTACAGAGATAGCATTTAAAAGGTCTTTCACCGTTATGAATAAACATATGTCGCTGGAGATTACCTGATATAGAAAAAGCTTTAGGGCACTGATTACACTTATAAGGCTTTTCACCAGAATGAGTTCTAGAATGTTTTCGCAAAGAAGACTTCTCTGCAAACCCTCTATCACAGACTGAACATACAAATGGAAGTTCTCCAGTGTGAATTCTTTCATGCTTTGTTAATGAACCGGGATCTCGAAACGCTTTTTGGCAATGAGAGCAGACATAAGGACGCCTCTGAGTATGAGTACCGATATGTTTACTGAACTCTCCTTTACTTGTAAACATTTTTGCACAAAATTGACAAACAAGTATGTTATCTTCTCCTCGATGAGTAATTAGATGCTGGTGATAATCATTTCGATTGTTAAATTCTAATCGACAAAAATTACATATTTCTGTTGCAGTATTATGAGTTTTGGCATGATGTTGAAGCGTTGCTAATACGCTAAAAGTTACTCCACAATCACTACATTTATAAAGAACTTTAGGCCGATGAGATTCACCAGAATCTCCTTTTACAGGTGACATTGCTTGAATGACAGAGTAATTTACAGAACAATTTTTAGAACTAGGTTCAGAAGCTTTGCTTTCATCTTCATCCACTTCTTTTGCTGTTTCTAAAATTAAACTTTGCAAGGAACTGAGAGATACATTAGAATGTATAGATGAACTTATTTCACTATCCGAACTATTAAACAAAGTTTTAACTGGCATTTGGTCAGACATCAGATTATCATTTATTTTTGTAAAATCTGGTAAAGGTTTACTATTTAAATCCAAATTAAACATAGGAATATTTGATATAGAACTCGTACTTTCTTCAGGATGAGTAAAATTTTTTCCTTGGTAATCTTTTGTGAGACATTTTTTTCTTATTTGATTATTCATGGACTCTATAAGCTCTGATATTTGCTTATGACGATTTAATAATTGGTGAAGTGTTGTATTTTGGGATGCATAATTAGAAGAATTTTCATCTGCATTTGATAGGTCTGGAAAATTAAAAACATCATTTACTCCCACAGAAGATTGTGTTACTCCTAACTGATGCAAATATAAAGTTGATAGCAATGATGAATCAAATGCTTTATTTAAACTAGGTATTGGCATTTTATTTACAAGTATGTCTGCAATATCAAGATGATCTGATTTTCCTGTAAAATTTTGTTTTGACTGGTTGCCTAACAAAAGAGACAAACCCATGTGAGTCAAATATCCATCGGATGAAATAAATGTTGGTTGGATATCGCTAGTGTTTAGTAGAAATGGGAAATCATAATTAGTACCACTAAAATTTTGACTTTTATTAGATTGTGGCATGTTTCCTAAAGAGCTCAAGGCAATATTCTTACTTTGTTCGCTTTTACCTTTGGCAGATATTGAAGGGTAAAAAGAATTTTGCTGAAATGTCATTTGATTATTAAGGACTTCATGATTATTATCAAGTTTGGAAGATCGAGAAACATCAGAGGAATTCTCATACTTATCAGAATAAATTTTACTTGGCTCATTTTCATTTTTATCAACAGATGATGCTTGAGTTGGCAGATGAATTGATTGAAATTCAGAATATTGATCTGCCAATGTTGATTGTAAAGGCGAAGTTTTGTTTATCATTAAAGAAAGTATATTAAGAAGCACATTATTTAGAACAGTATCATTGCTTGAAAAATAATGATGTTGATCAGAGATGTGATCTTGTAAAACCCTATAAATTTCTTGGCATCTAACACAAGATTTTTCAGTAGACTGCTGAACCATATCTTAAAAAAAACCATATCTTAAAAATAACCATATCTTAAAAAAAAATAACCATATCTTAAAAAAACCATATCTTAAAAAAAATAACAAATTGAAAATGATAAAAAAAAGTGTTTTTAAAGAAAAAGCAATAAATAAACTTTTATTTACATATTTTCAGTAATTCAATAAATTATCAAACTTATACACAATTTAACCCAATTACGATTTCTATCTTCAATTTCTTAATGGAAAATTTAAGGTTGGTCCGAGTAGTTTAATCCAAAAAGGGCTTTTTTTTTTAGATTAAATTTAAAAATTTACCAACTTAAACCAATACCCACAAAAATGCTATTATTAGCAATAAAGTACAATTTGAATAGAATAACGTTTTTAATAACATGTTTCTGTTATTCAAAATTGTTAACTTCCATATATGTGTATACATACACATACATGCACCCACACAACCACATTACTAGAGGAATAACTATGGGAAGGCAGGGGAAAGCACTGCCTTGGGACACAACATCCAAGGGGCTTCAGCCTCGACCCAATATAAGAGCTTTCAAATTTCTCATTTTAACAAATAATTTTACGACAGTTTTTACAAGACAGTCAGTACAAGTCTTCTGACATGAGTTGTTTGCGGCATTGTAAAATTTCACTTTTTTGGGTTTTCAGTGCTGTAACAAACCTGTAGCTGTATAAATATAAGTGTCTCTGAACTTATTAAAGTAAAAAGGTACCTATTAAATTGAATATTTAATAAAACATTTTTACAGAGTATATATTTACAGCATTTACCAATTACTTACCTCACAAACACAAATCAAATTTCTTTTTCTTATTAAACACAGTGTTTGTTGCACTAAAACATTGAGAACAAGTTAAAGCATTCTAATATTTATATTACAGATATTGTAAATTTAAAACTGCAAAAAAAAAAAAATCAAAAAATCAAAAAAAAAAAGGCCAAAGTAAAACAAGATTAAATTAAAAAACTTGCAAAAATTGATGCATTTTTTCAAACAGAAAACAAATCTTTAATAACAACAGTGAAGTAACTACTGATGATAAACCATATACATTATCATTAAATAAATAAATACTAATAACAATGATAATAATTGTGCCATAGACATAGAGACAAGCTTTGAAGATAGCAAATACACAGTCAATACTTGCGCATTAAATATTGTAAAAGATATTTTGAATAATAAAAATGAATTAGTATATTCACCAAATTATACTAATGAATAAGTTGATCATCTTGACACAAACTTAAATTTAATATTTTTTATTTTTACAACTATATTAAAAAAACAGTTTGTGAAAACGAAAAGAAATTATTATTGATTCAGGTCCAAAACATCCAAAAATTTTAATTTTCCACATGATCTAAATCAAAATAATCGATCCTTTTCCTACATATTTTTTTGAACAATCTGCAATGGGAAAATCAATTAGAGTTTGGCTTAGCTATTCAATAAAATTAGATGTTGTTTATTGTGAAGCTTGTTGGATGTTTGTAATACAAGACGAAAATAATAAAAATTGGTGTAAAGGTATTAGAGACTGGAAAAATTTACCTACAAAAATTAAAAAACCCGAATCATTATCTAAATATTTATCAGCCTGTTTGACATATAACATTTAGAAAAATAATGCAGGTACATGGCAGCTAAAAACCTTATTGACATGGCAGCTGAAAACCTCATAAAACAAAAAAAAGGATTTTGGGTAAAAACTCTGCATCGATTGTTTCGAATAACCCATACATTTTACGGTCATAACGAATTATTAGAAGAATCATATAACGGCAATTTTTGAGAAATTCCTTGTATTCAAGGAAAATATAATCCCTTTGTAAAACATTTATTAAATAAACCAAAAGGGGCAATTAAATACATGAGTAGCACAATAAAAATGAAATGATCGAATGCCTTGGAAGTATGGTAGAAGAAATAACAGAAAAAATAAAATTTGCTCCATTTTTTTCTATTAGGACAGACACAACAATTGACTCAACAAAAAAAGATATGTTAAGTAAAGTCTACAGATATGCTAAAATTGAATATGACGACAACGAATATGACGACAACGGAATTCCATCTAAAGTAAATAAAAATGAAGCATTTTTAGGATTTCAAGAAGTAACCTCTCGATATTCTACAGGTATTAAAAATATATTAATACAATCTATGGAAAAAAGACAATTTTCTATCGATAAACAAATTGGGCAAGGTTATGACGGCGCCAATGTTATGCCAGGTATACACAACGGTGTTCAAAATAAAATAAAAGAACTTCAAGAAGAATTTAAAAGTATTCAAGAACACTTAAAAGTATTAAAGAACACTTCAAAGTTTATATTTCTTCATTTTTTAATTATTAATTAATTAATTTTTTAATTATATTTTTAAATGTTATCAAAGAGTGTTATAGAATGTTACAAGAATTTCTCCAATTGGATGTATATATGTGTGTGTGTGTATGTATATATATATATATATATATATATATATATATATATATATATATATATATATATATATATATATATATATATTATATATATATATATATATATATATAACAGGGGCTATTCTAGAACGTTTTTGATAGCATCAACCGTATTTGGGCACTGCCCAAATTAAAACTTGATTTTTTTTTACAGTTTTTACAGCAAAATTTTTTTTTTCGCAAAAAAAACCTTGATTTTCTGCAAAAGTTTGCCCAAACAAGGGGCTACCGCCGCACAGTGTGCCCAGGACATGAAAAAATTTCTTTTTCTGACCTTTTATTTTTTCACTTTAAATAGTATTTTTATAATGTGTAGGGCATATGTCGGTCAGTGCAAAAAAAGTTTTGAAATTCATCAAACCATTTTGTTTTTATAGCTGTTTGAAGTTGAAGAAAATATTGACGTAAAATACTTGTCTTAAAATTGTACCAATTCTGTTTTTTAACAACAACTTTGAAACGCTATACATTAAAAACTACTCCATGAATTTAAAAAAAACTTTCTTTCCTGGTCTGTAAATAATATTTAATTTGTGAATTACTTAATGAAAAATAAAAACTGAAATTTAAACATTTTTTTTGTGCAGTTTTGTTTATACCTAAAAAAATTCTAAAATATATGAAAATATATATTTTTAATTAAAAAGAAAGTAACAGGAAAAAAAAGGCCGCAGGAGGCGCAAATAAACTCAAATGTTTTATTAAATATAGACTTTCTATTTTTATGTGTAAAAATTTCACAGTCCGGTTATCCCCGGAAATTGAGTAATTTAAATTTGAAATTTAATTGTTCGTACGAGTTGATATTCGAGGTTGTGTAATTATGAAAATCAACTTTCACGGACGATTTAGGAATATCTGTTGATAACATGCGACAAAATGTTATTGATAAAAAAAGGAGAATTAAAAGAAATTTTACTAACCTTGAATATCAAATTAAGTTCATTTGAAAAATCTAAGCTTATTTTAAAAACAATCAAAGTGAGATATAATCTAACTATAGAAGATGAAAAAGATGACATCAAGAGAATTTTAAAGCAAAATGAGAGACACATAAAAAAATATTCAAAGTTGAAACAAAACAAACTTTTGGCCAAATTGGAAATTTGGAGAAACAAAGTGGGGATAAAACTGCCCGGAAATCTACCTGCAGCAGCATCATCATCATCCAGGGGTGATGTAGAAGAAGAGGGAGCTCCGCAAGCTAAAAGAGGACGGAAATCAAAAAGAATAGGGTAAAAGTTTAGTTGTTGAAATATATTTGAATTTCTTAAGCATCATGTTATTTGGGACACCCAGTAGCTATTTTTTTACTTTTCATAATACATTATTATTTAATTCAGCGATCAACCTGAAAAACGTACCTACAACAAAATTCTGGATGATTTTGTGGACATCGTGGAAAAACATGCAAGTGAACAGGGAGTAGATAAGTCAGAATACTTAAAAGAAGTTGTCCAAAGATGTGAAAAAAGATGGGGAAAGGAGGAAGGAGTAAAACTTCCAACAATATCAGTACAGGAAGCAACTGCTTTAATCTACAACTTGGATCTATCCATAAATAAATATCAGGTGAAATATGCAATCAAATACTGTTGTAATTAATTGTTTTTATAATTGTACATTTAAATTTTATATATTTCCCCAGGAGCTGAGACTTGACCTTCTCCCAAAACTAATGTTGCCAACAAGTAATGATGTAGATACCTTTAAACGTACTTTGCTACCAAAGGAATTGAGTAGTGATGACAAACAAACTTCATCCCCTGTGAACAATGTCATCAAAGACACTGTTGAGTCTCTACTTTATATATCCGGGTTTTGTGCTGAAAATCATTCTATACATGTAGAGGGTAAATTTGGACTTGATGGATCTGGAAATCCCAACTATTGTCATCAGTTCCTCAAGACTTAAAAGGAACAAATTATATTTGTTCTTTTTGGAGTCCCCTTGAAATAAAAGATTCAAAAAACCAAGTTATCTGGACTAATCCAACCCCTAACTCTATTAATTTTTCCAGGCCTGTTATTCTTGTGAAAGCAAAAGAAACTAGGGAGAGTGTAAAAGAGTAATTTAAACCAATTCTGAGCCAACTGCCTAAAAATGAAACTTCGCCTATTCTTTCAGAAAATGGTTTGCAAATATTTGTAAAAACAGAGATAAGTATGGTTGATAACAAAATGGTAAACTTATTGGTGGGTTTAAACCAAACTAATGTTTTTTTAAAAAGATTTGAACTTACAACAGGAAACTAAGGCAGGGTTATGCTCACAATATAACTAATCTTCAATATAGATATATTTTTTTAAATCCATGATTTTTGTTTTTGTTTTTTTTTTAAATTTATCAATATATTTTTAAAAAAAATTTATCAATATGCTTCATCCACGATACTCTAATAATAAAACACTCTACCTAATAGAACTGAAATTGGAGGAGAATTATTAGATAGGTTTACACAGAAGAAATTGAAAAATGTAATGTGTTGAATGGGAAAATTGTAGTCATGTCTTTAGATGGCTGGAGTAATGTACATATTGAACCTATAGTTTGTATCTCTGTAATTACAGATAAAATTAACATTTTAGTAGAAACAATCAACACTTCAGGTCATTCACATACTGGTGAATATCTTACACAATTAGCAAGAGAAGCAATAGATTTTGTAAGGCATAAATTTGGGTGCACAGTAAAAAGCTTTGTGACTGACAATGCAGATAATATGAAATCAATGAGACAAGTATTGTCATCTGAAAGAGATATTATCATAACTATGGGTGTGCTGCTCATATGCTGAATCTTTTAGCAAATGATCTTAACATTAAAAATGTGAGCAAGCATGTTACACAAATAATAAAATATATAAGAAATAATTATCAAGCTTGGGCAATTTATATATTAGGCGGAGGAACAAAATGGCCACATAGTACTGAAACTCGCTAAAAAATAAAGACTTGGATCCCTTGATTGGTAAAAAAGTAAGTGATATACAGATAAAGCGAAACACAGAAGATTTATTGAAAATATTGAAACCAATTGCAAAACTCTAGATAAGTTGCAAAGAGACCAAACAAAAATAAGTGACTCTTGAAATTTTGAAAGATTTGATGAACAGTTTATCATTTTTATCAACAACAAAAAAAATTGACTCTAGATACCTTCAGACTGTCAGTGATGCTCATTTCCTGGCAAACACACTAGATCCTAGATATTTTGGATCTAATCTTTCTGAAAATGAAAATGAAGCTGCCATGAATTTCGCAGATAAAGAGTTCAAGAATTTGTAACCAATATTACTCAAATTAAAAGCCAAATCTACTATAACAGAATGGAAATTGAAGGTTTATTAAATGCACCAGCTTCTAGTGCTGGAATCAAAAGAATTTTTTCAATTTTTGTCTTGTTCATTCTAAGTTAAGAAACCGATTGGGGGTAGAAAAAGCAGCAAAGCTTGTATTTATATATAGAACATTAAACAATAATATATTAAATAATTTTGATGACATATAACAATAATATTGATAAAGAATATAGTTTACTTAAATAAAATACATTATGCTTTTTTTTAATTTAAAAGGATAACTAAATTCAAAAGAGTTACAAAAGTCCAAGAATTAGTGAAAACAGAAGCTACGGTAATTAAAAAGAAAACTTTTGTAAACCATTTTAAAATTAAAAAATGAAACTATTTTAAAATCAAAAAAGGACAATATTGGTATAACTGGTATATTACACCTTTATCCTTTGGATTGGATAGACTATAGTTTAAATACATTTTTTTAATAAATGACTTTCCCAAAATTTGGATTGGTTACTCCATATATTAGCACATTCTGCTGAGATTTGCTAAAGTATTAATTATACAATTTTGAGTATAATGTAAAAGTAAAGAATAAAACATTTTTTGTTATTTGTTTACAAAAAGTAGTAAGGAGTTTATTAAGATTAAAAGATTGTGATATTTGCGTGTTTATTTTAATATCATCTTTTTTAAATTTAGTCAAAATTGCCAAAACGATTTGATATGAAAAAACAATCCTTATAAATTTAAATGCAAATACACTTTTCATATTTACTTTTTTATGCCTATCAGCGATGCTTTTAAAAAAAAATTTAATTGTTTAATAATAATGCACTCTTTTTTTACATAAACTACCATTGAACTAGTGAATTTTTTAATAAACATGGTTTAAATAAACATGATTGTATTAATATATTTTAAACTACTTTTTCTAATCTGTTTTTGTTTAAAATTTATTTTTTTATCCAATTTTCTAATAAAAAAATAAAAATACTTATTAACTAGAATAAAAATGCATTCTAAAACAAATTTCATTTTTGCTTTATCTTAATTATTTAAGGGAGTTGTATCTCTTTGAATATAATCCCATTTTTTAGTTGTGACCTTTCATTATTAAATATATCACATAACTCATCGTAACTTTTTTTCCTCCATCCAAAATCAAATAATTTGTCATTTTAAAAATTGTTTCATTACATTAAAAAATTATAGAAATAATATAGGGGAACATAAAATAACTAAGCCATTTTTGATTTTACCTGAAAACAGATTTTTCATTAAAAAAAGGTTAGTTTTGTAAAATTAATAAAATATGGCAATACATATAAATTGTAATTGTTTATCACTAAATAATACATAAAAATTGTACTAGATAAATCACTGGATAAACAAGATAGAATCTTGTTTATTATTATTTACACATGTGAATTTTTTAATAAACATGGTGCTATATTCACTTTGTGATTCCTAAGCTACAACATTCATCATTCAATGATTTATTCAAAAATTGTAACAATTCCACTGTTAACAGAGAAAACTTTCTTGTTAAAGTTTAAACTAGATAGATTTTTATATACTTTAATAAGGTCATATCAGGAAGCGAACATTCCTCAGGAGCAGATAAGTATATACAAGGTGTCTACCAATATTTTAAAGTGGATTTTTCTGTCTTTTTCCTTATATTTCCCTGATTTTCTACCTGTTTTTTCTGATTTAATTTAAAGTTACCCAAACTCAACTTCACAAAAATTGACCTAGATTCGTTTAGAATAATGCTCTTTAACTGCAAAAATATAAACAATAACACAACCTACATTAAATGTATCAAGAGAAGTTCATAAAACTATCTTCCAAATAAACTTTTTTATTGCGTGTTCAATATACAAATTATTAAAGTTATGTAAATTTGTTGAAGAGCCATTTTCCCTAATTTCTCCCTGATTTTTCTAAAATTTAACCTAATTTCCCTGATAATCCCCTGATTTTGGGGGGATATCTGAATTCCCTGACTTTTTCCTGTTTTCCCTAATTTCCCTGATCTGGCAGACACCCTGTATATAATTCTATTATAATGTATATAATTCTATTATAATGTATTATAATTGATATTGTATGATATTGATAATGTATTATAATTAAATTTTTTGTTTTAAAGACCCTGGAAGTTGGAAAAAGCCCCAATATGCAGAAATATTTTTGACCTTGTCTTTTAAAAAAAATTTATCATCTAGTTAAGTTTTATAAACTGCATACCTTGAAATTAAATAACCCTTGCACAAAATAATTTTGACAGCGATCACTTTAAGCTATAATTTTTGTTACGATTGTTCCTTCCAAAATTTTTTTCGGATAATTTCGGTTATTAAGTTCGGATAATTTCTCCGAGCCATATTTTATAGCTTTTTGAGTTAGAAACTTAATCCGGATACATATTGTGTATTTGCACAGACGTTAGCAACACGAGATGTATTTGCTGTCAAAACTTTCTCTCTTATGATGAGAGATCTAATATAATCAAGCTTATAAAGTTGGTTTTTGTCAAGTTTTTCTTAAAAAAAGATATATTTATTATTCGATTTAAGATTAAAATATAAATTTCGATCAATGCTAGATGTTTACTCCTTCATTCTAACGCTTTAGTTTTAAAGTTTATTCCTAGTTTTACTTTTTTAAATAGACAAGCAATACTCCCAAATAATATATTCAGTTTTATAATTAAGGAGATACACTCCCCGGAAAGTTTTTTCTATGCACTCGTGAAATAAACAAATAAAGATTTTAGAAATAATAATTTATGTTTTTAAGTCTGTATAACAGGGTGTCTCCCAGATCAGTAAATTCAGGAAAATAGATAAAAAGCCATGGAATTCAAATATCTGCATAAAAAATTCGGGAATAATCAGGGAAATTGGTTTAAACTTTGGAAAAATCAGGAAGAAATCACGGAAAATGACTCCTTGACAAACTTATGTAACTTAAGTAAGTAGTATATCGCACACGTGTACAATACGATGACGCGTGATACGTGTACACGTAATATGCAGATAGTTTTTGTGAACTTCGTTTGATACTTTAAATGTGGGTTTTATTATTGTTTGTTTTTTTTTTTTTTTTACAATTGAAGAGCAGTTTTCTAAAAGAACCTAAATCTAATTTTTCTGAAGTTGAGTTTGGGTAACTTTAAATTAAAAAAAGGAAACAGGTAGTGGATAAGGGAAAAATCAGGGACACCACCGTAAAATATTGGCAAACGACCTGAATAAAACAAGATTTTAACTACAAGTGTGAATATAGAATTTTAAAATTGCAATTAACCAAGTACGCAGTTTAATTGTTTTGCTGTGTAATATTCAAGGTCACACTTCCAACGTTTAATATTTTAAAATAAATATTTCGCTAATATTTTAAACTAAATATTTCGCTAATATTTTAAACTAAATATTTCGGGTTAGCGTTCTTTAGGATGATCCAAAATAAGGTTTTGAATTTGCAAAAAAACGCAGACCTAGAATGGATTTAGTGGCTATTACGCATGCGTTCAAATTATAAACCTTATTCTGGATCATCCACGCTGAATTTGTTAATAAAGAAGCTTCGCTTATGGAATTACTATTATACAAACTTTGACGAATTGAAGTAGAATAATAAAGTTATACAATTATTAAAAGAAATATGTTGTGCAATTGAATTCTCTAAATCGAGTTGTTGTAAAAATGTTTGGTTGTTTATTTGGTATTTACTTATGGTATTTATGTTAATATGGTACTCTGGTAATTATTATTACTATTGTTATTATGGTACTATAGCAATTAGTTTGGTGAATGTTTTTAATAGGGATCGAATTATCAAATCACCAAGTCATTATATTAGTAGAGATATATAAAGATTAAAACATATATATGTATATATATATATATATATATATATATATATATATATATATATATATATATATATAAATATATATATATATATATATATATATATATATAAATTATATAATATTATATATGATATTATATATATATATATATATATATATATATATATATATATATATATATATATATATATATATATATATATAAATTATATATATATATATAAATTATATATATATATGATATTATATATGATATTATATATATATATATATATATATATATATATATATATATATATATATATATATATATATATATATAATTATTTATTTATATATATTTTGCTATTGTTTTGCAGTGGAAGCTATTAAAGTTAGTCTTATTAGAAGGAAGAAATATTTTATATAAGTGCAAGGGAGTGCTAGATAAGTTATAATATTTAGACAGATGTCCAGTAGTGTGTATGTAGTGTTCTAAATGTTAAAGTTTTATATGTTATTTAATGTCTTTATTAGTATGAATCTGCATGTTTGTAAATACTTTTTGTTTTGAATGCAATGCATCTTATTAGAACTGCACTGAGCAGTGAGCGCTTTAGAGATGCATAACAAGTTAAAAGTGTGTAGCAGATTGAGATAAAAGTACACAAGGACTGATGTCCGTTGAAATAAAGTGCCTCTAAGAAGAGAAATAATGAAAATTAATCATAGTTATATGTAGTTAATATAAACAGAAATAATAAACCATAGCCAAGGAAAGTACATGTAATTAATTATTTTGATAATGAAAGGTTATAGTAGAGTTACTGTAGAGCATAAATGTGATGCATAAAGTGTCAGCCGTGGAGCATGGATACCATTTGTTTTATGTTATTAGCAAAGTAAACAAACATTATAATTGCGCATCATTGATGCCTCATGGTATGAATTCTGATATCTGATGTGGTTTATGGTCTGGTTTAAAATGGTAATATTGATATGTTTAGATAAAGTTGTTTGTGTTATGTATAATTTCCATTTAGTTAGTATGTTTTAATGTGGTTCTTTGTTTTATATTTATATTAAGACTAACTTTTGTTTATTTAAATTCAAATGTATAGTGTAATTTTAAACTTGGTATATATAATATTTCTACTTATTTATAAGGTCTATTTGTCATACTAGTTTTATATTCAGTTTATATGCTAAATAATATATACATTTTGGTATAGTTTTTCTTTTAGTATTTAGTTTAAAATAATGTGGTATACTGTAAGTATTCCTTTTATATTAAATTTATTTTAATCTTGTACGGTTTAGTGATGGGATTGTTTAAATTTAATTAATATGGTTTAATGGAAATAATAATCGTTTTAAAGTTAATTTACTCTAAATGGTCAAATAAAAATATTTTTTTTGTATGTTTATTTTATATGTTTATATGTTATATATTATAATATATGTTTATTTTTTATTTGGTTTTAATTACATTGAACAGTTCAGTCCGATGCATTTTGTCTGAAATTAGTTTCTATAATTTGAATGCTTAAGACCCATACCAGGCCTTGTTTTAAATAAAAAAATGCTTAATGCATAGCTTTACGCGATATTTGCCAACATAAATTTCTGTTAATTTTTTTTAGACTTGTTTTAAATTACTGCAATAATTTTAATTACCTCAAAAGAAATTAAATGTTATTTATCGGCTCCTTTTTTAATACTTTAATGGAATGCTTATTTTTTTAATTATTTTCAATAATTAAATTTAATATTGCATTTTTAAAAAAGTTTGATATTACCAAATTTCTTTTTTTCTCAACATTTGCATAGATGAATCGTTAAATTTAATATGTTAAATTTTATAAAATGAGTTATAAGAGTTTATAAAATGATTATTTCTTAAATTTCTAATTGCGGCTTTGCAACTACAAATGATTTTATTTTAAAAAATTTATTCAATTTATTTAAAGTTTATTAGTTTATCATTTTATTAAAATTACATACGTTATAAAAAAAATATTTAGTAACATTTTTAAATAGGTTAGGCAGTTTAGTTAAATCCAAGCCATTAACTTTAAATTTTAATAAACTTACAAATATTTTTTAAATCAAAATTAAGTTATATTTTTTTTAAAGCTAAATTAAATTATATATGATTTTTTTATCAGAATAAAGTTATATATTTTTATTAAATTAGTTTTAAATTAAGTAAAAGTTGTCATTCAAACTTTTGTAACAAATATTTTTACATAAATGTCATTCAAAAGTTAATGTTTTTTGTTTTTTTATTATTAATTACTTCTTTTATCTTACCACTTTATTATTATAAAGTGGTAAGATAAAAGTAATTAATAAAAAAAAATTTTATCAATTTTTAACTAATAAATTATAATACTATAATTTATTAGTTAAAAATTGAGAAAAAGTTGCTTAATTGAAATGGCTTACTGCTTATGTAAAAATTGCTTAAGTTGCTTTACGCTAAATGCTTAAAAACAAGGCCTTCCTACAAAATACATATTTTCATTCTCCAAGCTTTTTACAACCTTGTGAATCAAGCATTTTGTGTGATGAAAACTTTTTAAAATCATCTAGTGAGACCTCCGCTTTGTCTAATCAAGGAAAGAAAATGTGAGTAACCCTCTGTTGTGTAGTTTCTTCAGCTAGTTTTGTTACATGAACATCACCTCATCTTCGGACATTTGGAGCCTAAAATCTTAGGAAGCAGAATATTATTTCCTATAATAGTTGAAACTGATGAACAAGTAAGAGAAGATGGCTTATATACTCTCCAGAAACTGATTTAGTTTATTGTCTTTCTTGTCATCAGTTTGACTCCAACTCTAAAATCATATTTTGGGAAAATAGGTTTCAACAACTGGAAAAAGTTCAAAGAGCAAGCTTAAAAAAGACATCTCCATCTCTTTACAGTGAATGAATGGACTGAAGCAACAATCAGGATAAAATGATCAAGCTACCAATCAAGGTCTTATGCAATAATTTTGCATTTCGTGGAAGCTCATTAAAGCTGTACACCAAAAAATAATGGGAACTTCCTTGGTCTTATTCAATTACTCGTTAAATTTTGATCCAATTTTGATGTAACATTTATGTATGCAATTCGAAAAAGTGTAATACCCACAAGCTTTCACACTGCTTGAACATAGTTATATCAGACCGAGCTAAATCAATAATAAAGTCTATATTGCTGTTTGGAGTTGTTCAAAGAACCTATAAAGTTTTTATCCATCAATCAAGCGCTGGATCTCAAGCACAATAGAACCTTACAAAAATGCAGTTTTCTTACCCCTAATTGGCACAACTAAATCATCTTTAAAAGGCAGAATGGACAAGTTCTCCAAATAAGAGTCAAAGTGGGAATTCTTATTTGATCTGAAAAAACCAAAGAAAAAACCTAATGAGAATTATAAAATAAAAATTTTAGAAGAAAATCTGACAGTGACAAATATTTCAGATATAAATGAGGAAGAGCTGTACAATTAAAATTCTACATGGCAGTTTGATAGCTACTGTTTT